GCCATTCCCTTAAAGACCTGACAACATGCATCTTACAACAAAGAGACTTTAACACCAGATTACAGAGGGAGACCTCTGAACTTTTATTTATGCTAAAATCGACACATTGTGAATGGGCCTTAATTGAGATGATAATTATCTTACACATTACAAAAACAGCATCCCCACCTTTTGATATTCGTAGTGACCCCAGATTAGCCACTTCATTGACTCTTACAGTAAGCAATTTCCTCCTTCCTTGTCACGCCCCCACCTTCTATTCTATGTAGCTGATTTATCAGTTTGAAATTTTTTTTTACTTTTTTCATTGTATTCCTCTGTTATATAATGGTCATGCCAATTCGCTTTCAGAATATGATCTGAAGAAGTAGGTCTGCCCCACAAAAGCTCATCACCTAATAAACTATCTTGTTAGTCTTTAAAGTGCTACATGACTGCTTTTAATGTTTATAGAAGTTTACTCCCACTCTATCATATATGACAGGTGTGATTTAAGGACACAATAATATTGTTTCATACAAAACCAGAAAATAGTATACATAATACATGTTGAACTTAATGTGATCAACCACAAAAAGATGTCATTGATAATTTGAGGAAAACAGCAATTACAAATGAATTCAGAAATTACAAAAGGCTAAGCTACACCAAGATTCTAAGAAATGACAGGATAAGACTCAGATCAGTGAGAGGTAACACTGGTAGGTTGGTGAAAGCATCTGGAAGGAGTAACAGCAATTGTGTGAGCTCCCTAGCTAGGAGAGGGTACCCACTTTTATCACCCATGATTGACTGAATCCCCTGCCAGTTCTGGAAGATTAGGAGGTAAGAAAGGAGTGCATTATTCCATGGGAATCTCAAAAGAATATAATAATAATTTTGTTCTGATGAAGTTCATTTTGTTCTGATTAGTTATTCATGCCATGTAACCTCAAGACTGGAGCACTAGAATCTCTCTACATATATTTTAGGGGTGTCTGTCTGTCTGTGAGTCCATCTATCTGTCTGAGAATCCATTTGTTTAAGAACTCCTCCTAAATGGTAACAGCTCGGACAACCAAATTTGGCATGTAGCTGTAACCCACACACGTAGGGTGCATCTACACAGCACCCTAAACTTGAAATAAGATATGTAATTTGTGCCACAACAAATTACGTATCTTATTTCGATTGTATTTTGAAATAGCTAGTTATTTCAAAATTTAGTGCTGGGTAGATGTGCCAAATTTTGCAATAAGCTATTTCAACACATCCCTTAACCGTCGTGGAATGAGGATTATAGGGAAGTCAAAATAGCGTGCCTATTATTTTGAAAAATATTTCAAAATAATAGGCACGCTATTTTGGCTTCCCTATAAAATATTTCAAAATAACGGACGTGTTTAAAAGACATAGGTTAACGGACATGTTTAAAAGACCTTCAGTATCCTGAAATAGCCCTGCTGTCTAGACAAACCCTAGTATAGTTCACTCTCCCATGTAGTGGTACTTAGACCACTTACAGCGAGAGATAAGAATAAGGGAGCTCTATAGCCTCAGCTGTGAGCCACCTGGCTATATAGCTCAAGCTGTAGAGGCTCCTACACTGAGGTCCCAGGTTCAAATCTGCCTGGGCTGTGGTTACATAGCTTCCTTTTATCCTAACTTAAAGCAAGCTCAGAGTTTAGTTGTGTCAGGAAAATGGGATGTGCCTGGAATTTGATTTTTTTCCATTACATGGTAAGGGAGGGAGCTGTTTGGAGAGAGGTGGTACTGATAGTCACCAAGGGGGACAGTGAGCAGGGGGAAGAAACAGCTATACTGCAGAGTGAACACTAGGGGCAAACACACCAGGAAGTGAGTGGCCAGCTGGAGATAGGGCTCGCCATCTTGTCAGCCGCTGGCCAGGGTAAGTGCCCTCCTCCCACTCCAAACTCTCTCCATCCATGGCCCTCAGCCCCAGTGCTCATCTCGGGGAGAGGGAAGGCTTAGGGGAAGAGGAAGGCACATTTGGAAACTTCAGCAGCCTACTTGTTTAGACATGTTGTTCTCATGGATTGTATTATACGTGCACATCAAATTCTATATACATTAGGTCTTGGTTATATAAAAAAGCACCTGCCTTCTCATCAGATACATAGCAATTTAGATCAGAAGAGTCCCTCAAACTAATGCACCTTAATTTAAACAGGAGGATCTGATGGCAGGGTAATTTCACTGAGACTCTCCCTGCAGTCAAGAATTCTTTCCATCTTGGCCTGAGAGATCTAGACTCTGCTGACCAGCAAGAAACACTGCAAAGATCATCTGTCCTCCTAGATTTCAAAAAAGGTTCTGATTTGCAGAAGCAGATGAGCCAAAGGGGAGTTTCATGGATTAGTTTACTATTAATTTATTCTCTCTACATTACTACAGTGATATTCTCTGTAATGTCTCTGGTAGAGTGGGGCATGCCCCCCAGATGGGGTTGTGAAGTGCTAGCTATGGGATGCAGATCCAGACCCCTTAATTGCTTTTCTGTGTTTCAATTAAGGAAGCTGATGGCAATTATTTAAATTAACACCGTTAAACTATTTCACTGCTTATGAACACATATAATAGGAGTGAGGAACTATATTATGAAAACCTATATCATCATTTGGAAAGGATGTGTCATGGCTCCTTCCCCACTCTGGCACAATAAATGCAGGAGTGGGGGTCAGCAAAAGTACCCCAAAACCTTATCTACCAGTCTTTGGTATAAAACTTCCCCCCAAAACCTTAACAACCTAGATTTTGGGGATAAAATCTCCGCTACCACCGTCCAAATATTAATAAAGAAACCAGGGAGAGACTACTTGGGAAATCTCACCCCTAAAGTACAAACTAGGACACAAAAATTAATCAATACCAGGTTAATAAAAAGAAAAGAGAAAGTACTTTTATTATCACCACAATATTCCTGTTGCAAGCATAATGACTAGATGGAACAGTAACAATAATATACTCATGGAAGAGAAATTTACCATGGGCCAGGAACTTAGTTACAAAGGAGAACAAAACCCATTTTTAAATGCACAGACACTAGATCCCATTTCCCAAACCATAAAACAATAAAACCTAATGGATTTATCTGAACTTTCTCCTATTTACAGAGTGTGAAGAGTATTTTCTTAGAGGGAGACATCCTGTCCCCTTCAATATCTGGAGAGACACTGCCCCAGAGACAAAGGAGGGAAAAACTCAATAATTCCTTTGTCCTACTTTGAGATTCCTACCTACATTCCTATTGGACAATTCTACCTGAGTTAGGTATAGTTAAACCCCTTAGTCCCCAGGCTTCTGGCTAACCCTCATGATCATGACATGTATGAGGGTGTGAGCGATTAGCTGGTAGGATCAAACAGATGAGTGAATGATGATGGATAGGATTTTAACACCAACCTGCACTATTTCAGCAACATCCATCATCCAGCAGGATCACAGATGCTCCTGGACCAGAGAGCTTGGGAGCCTAAAGACAGGAGGGCCAGCCAGGACTGGGGAAAACAGGGTGGGCAGCTCAGCTAGAGGCAGTGCAGGGCTGGGGCTGGAGCTCCGCACAGCAGCATGGGGCCAGGACCAGAGTCCCTTGGCAGCTTCTGAGAACACAGGACTGGGGCCAGAGCTCTGTGGCAGCATAGGCCAGAGTCTCCTGCCCAGGAGTATGGGGCTGGGATGGAGCCCCTTAGAAGCCCACAGCAAGCAGGTCCAGAGCCCCGCAGCAGAAGCTGGAGCCTGTGATGCCCAAGGAGTTGGCAGCAGCTACAATTAGCCCAGCCAGTTTGGGGAGAGGGGTAAGGCAGGATGCCTGCTGGGATAGCCTTCCAGAAGCAGGCAATGGGCTTGGGGGCTGGTGCCAGAAGACCTCCCCTGGTCCAGCAAATTCTCTTGTCCAGGACTGGTCAGGTCCCAACAGTGCCAGACCAGAAGGTCCAACCGGTAGTTTAATTTTTCTTAAATGGGAGTCAGCTTTCCACAGTTTGCAAAACTCTGCTCTAAAGTGAGTTTTCTATAGGCATTTATATTAGACAATAGCCTAGTGCTAGAGCAAGGGATAGGTGTATTTCAAAAGTGTCTAAATACACTATCTTGTTATGTAAAATTCAGGATTTTGTGCCAACATACTTATAGACCAACAAATCTTAGACCTAGAGAACCCAAAACAAGTTTTACATTTGTTTTCACTGGAGCTAGGAACCGTCCATTAAAGTAGTACTTTTTTGGTGGTAGTTAATAACAACACTGAAGCTGAAAACAAGATGTGTTGCCTTGCTAAAATATTCCTTCCTTCATTCTGTAAAGATAGTGTTGTCATTATAAAGATAATGGTAAATGTGAGTGGTGCTCAAAATGATGTGTTAGAAAAAAACAAAATTAAATCTTTTACCTTAGGAAAAAATATAAAGACACCTTATAAATAGATATAAGCAAATAAAAAAAAGTTGGGTCACGCTTTAGGCAATTTTGATATTGTCCCATTAAACTACACTGTAAATTAAACAGGGATCAATATCCACACAAAACCACATGTCAAGATTAAAGCTTTGGCCTTAGACATGGAAAATTTTTAACAAGACTCAAGCCTTCATCTATCATAGGCTGAATGTATGTATACTAAGTCTGTTACACTTAGTATATGTAATATTCTTTCTTTCATAGATTCAAAATTTGTAGATCAAAATCAAAGACAAAATGTAACACGACATTTACATTGTAAAAACAATGAAGAGTACTGTGGCACCTTAAGGACTAACAGATGTATTTGGGTATAAGCTTTTGTGGCTTATGATGACTTTAGAGACCTGAAAAATTTCTTAGCATTGACTCTCGAAATATCTTGGGATCAGGAAGATATATACAAAACCATGATATATGGATATATTCTTTTCAATGATTTAATGGGTTGTGTGAATGCAACATATAACCATTTCAGATCTCACGCTTTTATATATATTATATTTCATTTTCAAGAACACAATGAACTGAATTGTTTTACTTACTAATAACAGTAGCAGGACAATATCAGGATTATCACATGCACAGGCTACATGCACTGGTGTCCAAAAATCCTCATCCTGATGATTTACATTTACTCCTCTGTCAATTAGAATTTCTGCAGCAAAGGCATTATCATAACGAGCACACTGGAAAAGAGAAAATATGATTAGACACGGGACCTAGTTCGAGGTAAAATTCAATTTATTAATATGCTTTTTCATGTAGTGTTTTTTCTCTACATAACATAGAAAGTTATCAGATAATGTACTAAAGATTATGTTTCCATTTCTGCAGGAGACTGATGGATCTATGGAAATAAATTCTGTGATATATAGGGGAGATATACACTCACATTTTTAGGAAAGATGAGACCTATGATTTGTAATGATGAAACAGAACTATACCAAATTTGCTACAAGCAGGCCTTTCACAGTTACACAAGGAGCAGGATTTACCCTGGATTAAATTACATCATTACAAATCACAGGTCTAATCTTTTCTAAAAATGTACATACAGAACAAATTACAAATGGGACAGCATCACTCCAGGCATTATTAAAGGGTTACAATGTCTTTCTCCTCTAGTTCACTGGGGTTTGAAAACAGCGTAGATGTGTACCCTGATGTTTGTACAGAGGCATTTGTGAAATGATTGGCAATCTTAGTCCACTTCAAACAACAAAAGTCATCAGTAGTAATTAGCTCCCTTGTTAGACAGGGTGGTTGACCGACTTGCCATACCAAAGCAACAATTCTGTGCCTCCCAAAAGAGTGCCTCTCAAAAAAGCTTAGGGCCTGAACTCTGCTACCGCTGATTTTCACAGGAGTTAGGTCAAAAGTCAGTTCTTCTGAAGTCCTACTCTGTGAATAGTGCTCTTAATTCAGCATCTTCCACAACCTTTATTAAAGAAATAGATCAATTTTTGGAAGAGTGGGGAGAAGATAGGAGGAAGAAAATAAAACAGTTTCATATTGTAAGTCATTTTTAATGACATTTTATGGTAAATGTATTTTTAGTTTTCTTCTTGAGTGAACAGATTTCTCATGCGAATGGCAATTGGCGAAGAATCCAAAATGATCATTCTTTTCTCCTACATAGAGCAGGTTACAGGCAGTTAAATTTTAAAATCTGCTATGTAAAGGATCTGAGTGGGCAATTCTTTCAATAAACTATAAGTTACTTTAAAAGATAAAATCTTGAAATAAAGTGTGCTGCTGTATTTGTAGCATGACTGATGCCCAGATGTAGATGCACTATGCTTGAAAGAGGGTCAAATCTGGGTTGCCCAGTATGCATTTTGCCATTGTTTTCAATGAGATCAGGATTTGGTAGTAAATAAATTAACAATACTCACTAAACCAAATCAGTAGTTTACATACTCAGTAGTACATCATGTTTCTTCCTGTACAGAGTTTTCACTTCTCTTGGAATTGTGCATTAATTTATGTAGCGACAGGCCCCAAAGGAGACTCGCTGAATGTAATGGGGCATTAAACTCAAAAAGCCTAAAATGCAATTCACTTAAAACTGCTGTTAAAAAGTGTGTTCCAGTTGCTATATAGACTAACTGAAAATCCAGAGAAGTTTCTTTTTTGGTTTAAAAGTGTGAGTGGGACATTTTGTTTACAAGTCACACTGCCTTTGAACTGTTAACTAAGGCCAAAATTTTCAGATGTGATTAGTGATTTTGGGTGCCCAACCTGACACACCTTAAAGGGGTGTCATTTTAAGACGCACAGCCCTTTTCAAATTTCAGGCCCCTGTAAGATGACTCAAGTTGGAACTTAAGAATACGTATCTCTTTTGAAAATCTTGGCTTGCAACTTTTGTTGCTGGTTCTTAAATCCACAGGGGCAGGTGAGTAAGGACAACAAAAGCATTACAATGCCAGAGAAGATAATTAATTTTCATCTTCTTTTTATTCTGAACTTCTGAGATATAAAACACAAGAATAACCAATAGAAATGGCATGAAGATGGGCAGCACTGCCTTTGTCAATGGGCAGTGTGGGATCAGAATACAAAGCAACATCATTCAGGAAAGATTAAAGATTGCAGAAGTATGTTGGGAAGGAAATTCCTAGCACAGACTTAGAGTCTAGAAAGGTTACAGTCTACCAGTAACATGTCAATGTGACAGTGCTGCTTTGCTCCATGTATGTGAAATTGGAAACATGTGTATCTAAATCAAACTGAAAGAAGAGTATATTTCTCATGGAGCCAAATTCTGCTGTTTGTTATTGTATTTATCGGGGTTACATTAGACAGTTTTAGAATTAAGCCTAACATCCAACAGCTATAGCAGCTACATACTGCCTTTAAGAAAACGGGAACATGAAGGCTGAGTACCTATGGTGGCATCCTGACACCACTGAAGTCAATGGAAAATTTGCAATTGATTTAAAAGAAAGCAGGATCTTTTCCCCTAGAAAGAAGTACCATACAATATTTAAGGAACTCTTGATTTATCACAGAGATTACCATTGTACTGGGGGAAAGCTTGCTGTTTATGAATAACCTTTTTCTTTTTCTCCAAATGAAGTTTTTGGAAACATTTTCAAATCAGCCTGTTACACGGCAAAATACATATTTGCAGAAAGTTTTGCCTACACGTCATGACCCTTCCATTTGAAAATTGAAAAGTTAAGGCGTCATATCATCTATTCATACATCTCTTCCCTTGGGGCTCGTCTTCACTACGTGATGGATCAAAGCTGCAGTGATCGATCCAATGGCTTTTCTACTTCAATATGATGAATTGATCTATGTGCACTCTCCTGAAAACCCTGGTACTCCACCAGGATGAGAAGAGTAGCGGGAGTTGATGGGAGAGCAGCCCCAGTCAACTTTACCATACAGAAGACATCGCGGTAAGTACATCCACTTCAGCTATGATATTTGTGTATCTCAAATTGCATAGGTTAGATCAACGGTGTGTGTGTGTGTGTGTGTGTGTGTGTGTGTGTGTGTGTGTGTGTGTGTGTGTGTGTGTGTGTGTTAGTTCTGCACACATAGGAATTGGAGCTGTGGAGGAAGTGGGGGCAACACCCTAGGAACAGGCTGGTTCCTGGGCAGCAAGGCCCCCCCTTACTCTGGGGATTCTTAAACAGCAGCAACACACAATGCAAATTTATTCCCTACCCCCAACATCCACCACTTCTCTAAATCTTCACCTTGCCCTCGTGCTGCTCCTTATCCAAAGGCTCTGCTTGCATGATGCCACTTCCCTGCAAGACCCCATCACACCTTGGTCATCTGTGCTTCCTCCCCCCTCCTCACTGGGGCAGACAATTTCCCCTGGCCCCTGGACAAGGTGGGGGGGGCCTGCTCCATGCCCTCCTGTAGGGACAGGACCTTGGCTGAAAAGGGTGGGGCTGGGGCTATGGAACTCTCAGCTCCACCCAGAGAGTGCAGCGACTCCCCCAGACAGCCTGCCCCTCCTCTCCAGATGTGCTATGAACATGCAGATGATAGTAAAATTTAGCTAGCAGATGACAGATCAGATGTCGAGTTGGTGCATGTGGATCAGATACAGATCCACATTTTTGGATCCATGCAGGGCTCTACTCATGGGCACCGTCATCAAGACCTCCATTTTCTCTGATGGACTGGTCTCTCTGGCAAAGTTCCCTCTAATCTTTTCCACCCATGTGCAGCTTTTTTCCATCTATAAGAAGATTATATCTGTCATGATGCAATGCAGATTCTCCTCTGACTAGGCAGTGTGGTGCTCTATTGGAGACACATGGCAGTGGAAGTATCATAAAAGACATAATCCAGCCAGGCAGCCTGGCTCATAGAAGAGAATGAGAGCAGATAACCAAACTACAACTTCTCTGAGGCATGACAAATTTTGACAGGTTCAACTTGCTTTAGTTGGTTTGGGACAAAAATATATATTGCGATTTTGGAATTGCACGCTAGACAGAAATTATGGAAATTCACATAGCTGTACGCATCAAGGCTCTCTAACCTACAGCCACATTCCACAGATAGAAGCCCCATATAGTTTAAAGGCAATTGCATGTACAAGGATGGAACAGTACACCTTGTAAAACAGTTTAAGAATGAATACAGTTTATTTTGGCATTAGAGACACAAGTTACAAACTTCCTTGTCTGAGTATAAAGTAACAGCGGCAGTAATCATGGGATTGCTTTCACTGGATTTATTTGGTGTACTTAGAATTGTGCACTAGAAGGCTACGTCTACACTGGCCCCTTTTCCGGAAGGGGCATGTAAATTTCACTAGTCGTCGTAGGGAAATGCGCGGGGGATTTAAATATCCCCCGCGGCATTTAAATAAAAATGTCCGCCGCTTTTTTCCGGCTTTTAAAAAAGCCGGAAAAGAGCGTCTAGACTGGCCCCGATCCTCCGGAAAAAGTGCCCTTTTCCGGAGGGCCTTATGGGCACTTTGAAGTAAGAATAAGAGCCTCCGGAAAAGGGCACTTTGAAGTAAGAATAAGAGCCTCCGGAAAAGGGCACTTTGAAGTAAGAATAAGAGCCTCCGGAAAAGGGCACTTTGAAGTAAGAATAAGAGCCTCCGGAAAAGGGCACTTTTTCCGGAGGATCGGGGCCAGTGTAGACGCTCTTTTCCGGCTTTTTTAAAAGCCGGAAAAAAGCGGCGGACATTTTTATTTAAATGCCGCGGGGGATATTTAAATCCCCCGCGGATTTCCCTACGACGACTCCTGAAATTTACATGCCCCTTCCGGAAAAGGGGCCAGTGTAGACGTAGCCGAACTGTGTGATTAAACTCTGATTTTCAGTAATACTACCCTTAATTTGGGGACATATTTTTGTTGGCTTTTAAAATACACTAGAAAACCAGGCCAGTCATACATAAATGTTTGTGAACCTTCTGAAGGAATCTGGGCAAATTAACAGTTGTGTCTCGAAAACAGGCAAAACTTGACATATGCTCCTGAGCATTTGGGACGTTTGACTCAACCTTCAAAGCAAAACAGAGATGCCCTACAAACCTCTGTGGAACAACACTGAAAAAAATGGTGTTCATGATGTGGTCCAGCAAAACAAAATAATAGTGCTTTTTACAAGTCTGCTGTGAGTCCTGAACTGCCATCCTTTACTTCTCATTAACTAAAAATAGTGTATTTTCTGTATTTCTCTCTCTGCCTTAATTACATGGTACACACAAACCTTTTCCTTTATTCACTTACTCTAATATACAAATAACTATGCTGACCTAAATGGAGATACTGCATTAGATTTTCATCTATAGGAGATCAACACTGAAAAAGGGAGGAGCTACATCAGTTAAACTGAAGGTTAATTTCTCTATCTTGGGAAGCAATCAGTTTTTTCTTTGCTCTTACTTACTGTGCAGATAATTTATGCATAAAACATCTCCCTGGATTTTGCTAGGAACTGTCCTACATGATGCATCTTTGCATAAGCCTTTTGAATGCCAACATGTATTTCATGCACACAGCTGGATGCAATCATAATAACCCTGGCGCTCAGGGCAGATAAAAAAATTATTGCAAAGTCTTTTGTATTGTTAATGTGTCCAATATGCTACACAGAATCCTGCCATACTCATCCACAGTCACTAACACTAATCTTCAATCACTCTTACCAGATGGAGCAAGGAGCCTCCTGAGGAAGTAAGAGTGTGAGGGTCTGCACCATCCTTTAGTAGCCGTAACACTGAAATAGCAAAAAAAAGAGAAGAAATAATTAATATGGCTATGCACCCAGTACTGAGATCTTAATAGCCTGATTTTTCATAATCTTCATTAACAGATTTATATGCAAACCTCAGAGTTAATATTTGTAAAACTATCATGTCAGCATTTCCTGTCTCATTTATTTTAATGGCTACATCGGCTGGCTCAGGACCTTTGATAACTATGCTAACAATAAGCAATATCAAGGACATCTCTAGAGAGTAGTTGTAGGTCCATAGCTCTGAATGTGGGATATTCCATAGCAAGGTCAAAATCACCCGATTAGACCATGTTCACATGAGTGCAGAACACAGTTAGCGGATTTTATTATATTTTGCAGAGTTCCCAGGAGTCCTAGAGGCTTTTTTTTTTCACTAAATGATTGAGATTGGTTTTCATAACTTATATTGCCTGAAACTAATCTTCATGCCACAGCTCAGTGAAGTGCACTCCATTCAATCTCTACAGTACAATATCTGAACGCTGCCATAGTATAATTCCTGAAAACTATATTTGGGTCCACATGCTTTGCTACAAACTCCTTTGCAATGAACCCAGGCATTTACCTGAGAGCAGAAGACACCCCTGCATATTGGTGCTCAGTCAGGATTCTTAATTCTTTATTCCTTTTCCTTGGTTTCTATGGCTTTTATAACCTTTTCACTAGGAATTCAGGAATTGACTAACTCACTCTATCAGTGTTCATTCCAGGACAGGACTGAATAATGAAAAGGCCAGACATTATCAGGGGAATTCACCCCTGCACAGCAACTACTCAGCACAGAGCCCCTCTATCAAAGCATAGCTGGTTCCACATCCTCATCAGGAAGTCAAGGCGCAAGAGAAGTTATATGAATTGCCAGCATTTATGAGTTACCAGACAGCGCTTTCTAAGTAAGCTCATTTATTTTTAAGGTGAAAGCAATGCAAACAAAATGTATCAAAAATAAAACAACCGACTTGGATGCTAAAAAACTTAACAGAGGCCACCCCAACTCCAACCTAGGAGTTTAGAGAAAGGTTGGAAGGACCAATACCTGCCAAAAGTTGCCATTTGCTAGGAGACTCAGAACAGGTAATCATCAAGTAATTTATTCCCTGTCATATCCCACCCTCCTCCCCCCACCTTTAGACAGAAGGTTGTCTACTTGCTGGATCAGAAACAAGGCTCAGAATCAGTTTAAAGTCAGGTTCTTTATTCAAAAGTACATTCATTCTTTGTTCGTCTCCAAAGAATCCAGTTGGAACCAATATATGTGAGCCTCTCCAAGTCATGGAGAGGCTCCTTGGAGGAGCTATAACCTCAGTCAATTTGCCTAATCAACCTAGTTTCTAGAAAACTATATTCACCATCTCCTATGGAAATGCATAGAATGTCAGGCCCACAATGATACATTAACTTAACATAGTGAGATGGCTCAAATATATATTTCAGGAAATTGCCACATCTTTCAGAGATGCAAAATTTGAACTTTTAGTCCCCCATTAAGTGCACTTTCCCTAAGGCAAGAGATGCTGATAAGGGTAGGAAAGTAAGACCTAGGAGCATGCAACATGCTTTAGGGCATTCACAAAACTAACAGGCCAGAGACTAATTAGTTTTCCTTAGCATATGGGGAAATTATGATTTTTTCCAGAGATTTATAACTTAGGCAGGTCTTGATGGATTTCCATGGAAATCAGGCCTGTGCTTTCCCACTGTTTAATTTGAAGTTACTGCTATAAATCACAGAAGCGATTCCATTCATGACAGAGTAACAGTAGCTTTGCTTGTCTTAAAGACTAACAAGATGGTTTATTAGATGATGAGCTTTCGTGGGCCAGACCCACTTCCTCAGATCAGGTTTTGATCTGAGGAAGTGGGTCTGGCCCACGAAAGCTCATCATCTAATAAACCATCTTGTTAGTCTTTAAGAAGCACTAGAGGTTTTCAAAAATAGTCAGATATGGTTTTTGGTTTGTTTGGTAATTTTTTTTTTAACACTGGCCATTTTCATTGTCTTTGATTTCTGAAATAAGCTACCAATTCACAATCACATTTAAAAAAAATCAAGCTGAAGAGACACCAAGCAGAAAAAAATCAGCTAAATCAGTTAAAGTTCAATACTGTTATAATGAAAGCAAGGGTTTAAAAAGGGAGAGGCCACCCTAAACATACGAGCAACTATATACTCCACTTATAACGATACATACAAGTATATATTTTGAAAGAATCAAAAAATGATAGTTACCACCAACTTACTTCATGATTCATTTCAGGTTTTGAAAATCAACAGAGTCTAAGCCCTCCTATAAATTCATACTTGAAGAATAAAACTGTGGTATCTCATCATTTGCTTTTTTATTTGTTTTTGCCTCATTTAATTTACGTAATTGCAAAAGGGCTTTGCCTTCTGGCAAACACAATTTTGTAAGCTAAATACTCTCAGACTTTACTGTTGTTCTTGGCACTGCCACTAAATTGGGAAGCAGAACATTGAGTAATGCAGATTAAATGGACTGTGTTACAGTTGCCAAGAAAAATGGAGAATATAAGGGGAGCATATTTATACTTGCCAAAAATTTGGCAAAAGTGGAAGAATGAAGAGGAAAAAAGCCCACAAACTATTTCTTCCTACTCTCCTTTACAGAAACCCAGTGATTAAAAATATCAGCCCCTATTCCTCGCTTACTATCTAAAGTTAGACTTTTCATCCATACCAGTACTAAAAAGCATTGTACAGTGCATTCAGAAGGAAATAAGGACACTCTGTTTCCCTTAGGTTACAGCTGCTAGAGTCCTAGACACACTCAACAAAGCTACATCTAGACTGCATCCCTCTGCTGACAGAGGGATGCAAATCAAGCACTTTGAAAGTGCAAATGAGCCCAGGATTTAAATATCCCGGGCTTAATTTGCATACTCACGTTCGGGTGCTGTGCCGATCACGCGCCCTTTCAAAAGTGAAAGTAAAGTCTAGCCACAGCTCTGCCAACAGCAGGGAGATTTTTCAGCAGATCCTGACCTTCTCATTTTTTGAGGAGTACAGGATTTGCCGAAAAAGCTTCACGCTTTCGGCAGAGCTTCGGCTAGACTTTACTTTCACTTTTGAAAGGGCACGTGATTGGCACAGCGCCCGAATGTGAGTATGCAAATGAAGCCCAGGATATTTAAATCCCAATCCCAGGCTCATTTGCACTTTCGAAGTGCCTGATCTACATCCCCCTGTCAGCCAGAGGGGCGTAGTTTAGACACACCCCAGAGGTCTTAATAAAGTTCTGGCTGAGATAATTTAGTTGGAGTTGGTCCTGCTTGGAGCTAGAGGTTGGAGCAGATGACCTCCTGAGGTTTCTTCCAACTCTAATCTTCTATGATTCTATGAAGACACACACAAATACATACACACACAGTTTTTTCAGAACCCTTGCAATAGCTAGATTGCCAAAACTTCCTGACACTTTCTTCACTCCTATGCTTTGAACAGTTTCTTGCCTCACCTCTTCTGTATCTAAGCCACATAATAGTTGCTCTTGCATTGCAATTTCTATCAGAGGAACTTTACAAAATTGAACTACAACTGACTACAGCTGTCCAATATAGACATAATCCTCACTGGAAAATGAGGACAACGAGGAACTTAGTCCTTAAAAGTGGGATTTTCCAAAAAAAATGCTTAGTGTTAGCCTAACTCTGGTCTCTCTGACGACAAGGAGAGTTTTGCCACTGACTTCAAAAGGAGCAGACTTAGACCAGAGCTGTGCACTTTTTGGAAATTATATTGTACCACTGGCACATCAAGCACCAGTTCATGCCAAGGCCCAGGGCTTTACCAAACACTGACAAATGCATAGCTGGAAAACGGTGTGACTTACTTGTGAGTTAGTGTAATTCAAATAAATATTTGTGTTATAAGAGTGTATTTGGTGTTTAAGATATATGGAATGCTTGTAAGATGTTGTATGTATTAATCTTACTAATAATATCTGCACCCGCAATATCAAGTTAATTGTAAACCTTTGATGCTGTGTAACTAACCAAACCAATGCAGTAATTCAGGTGAAGTATTCCTCCTGCACACAAGGTCCATTGAAGCCAAACAAGGCATTGTGTAGCCCCAAAGCACAGAGAACTTGTTGACTGCATTCCTATCTCCCTCCAGGAAAGGGTGGCCTATCTGTGCACTCATTTCATCAGCTTATATTCTGGGTTGAGAGGGGATAAAAACCCATAAAATATGGTATCTTTATGTTCTCTGGATTCTGAGGGAGCAAAGATAATTAAACATAAGTAAGAGATCCCCATGCTGTTAGCATGATTCAGCCTCAAAGAATATATAAAGTTTATTATAGAAACATTTATTACTTTTTTAAAATCTACAGCTATAATGTATTTGCATGTATGCTTCCTGGTTTAGCCTTGTAAACAACTCTTGTTTCTTTTTCTTAGCTAATAAATCTTTAGTTAATGACAGCAATCATTACAACCATTGTCTTTTGTTTGTGGCCTGAGTAGATATGACCTACAGTAAGCAAGTGGTCCTTTGGGACTGGGAGAAGCCTGAATATTGCTGTGACTTTTTGGTGAAAAGTGACCATCTATCACAAAGCCAAGCTTGGCTTGGTGCATGAGAGAATGAAATGTCAAAGGAACAGTCTGTGATTCCATGGTAAGACTGTTAGGATATGTCTAGAATACATTACTCTTCCGACAAAGGCATGTAAAATAGACTACCCGACATAGTCAACGAAGCGGGGATTTAAATATCCTTGGCTTCATTAAAATAAAAATGGCCACTGTGCTGTGCCGGCTCAGCGGCTTGTCGGCACAGCGCGCGAGTCAAAACACAGATAGGTCGTCAAGGGAAGCCTTTGTCAACCACTCTGTTTTGCCTCATGAAATGAAGTTTACAGGAGTGGTCAACAAAGGCTTCCCTTGTTGACCGATCCGCGTCTTGACTCTCATGCTGTGCTGATGTTCTGCTGAGCTGGCACAGCGCGGCA